AGGGTTCTTTTGGTGAAATCCTGAAAGCAAATTGGCGAGGAACACCAATTGCTGTCAAACGCATTCTTCCATCATTATCCAACGATAGACTGGTTATGTAAGTAAAGTTTATTCACATAATCACCAAGACTCCCACATTTTGGACCCAGTTGCCAGCTTTCTAGTACTCCAGCTGATTGGCTAGGACTAGCCTCTTGCATTTCTATATGGTTAACTAATGTTCTGTTCAAGGTGTGACTGGACACCTTATAACCTTTTGCCGCATGTTTTATCTCATGGAATATTTCCTTACCAGCTACTTTCCGGTTTGCAGCCAAGATTTTAAGCATGAAGTCAACTTGCTAATTAAGCTGAGGCATCCAAATATTGTACAGTTCCTTGGAGCAGTCACAGAAACCAAGCCTTTGATGCTAGTTACTGAGTTCCTCCGAGGAGTACGCAATCTGTTTTGGAAGTCAACTACCCTGTGATGTGGACTCTATGGCACTCACTAATGTTGTACTAAATGCATTTCCAGGGTGATCTTCATCAATATCTCAAGGAGAAAGGCTCCCTCTCCCCACTTACTGCCGTTAACTTCGCATTGGACATCGCAAGGTATTCTCATCTTTATGTGCTTAGCTCTTACTACTCCCTCCGTTCCTAAATATAAGTCTTTTTAGAAATTTCAATAAGGACTACATACGGATGTGTATAGACATATTTTAGAGTGTAGATTCACTCATTTTGCTCCGTATGTAGTCCGCATTAGAATCTCTAAAAAGACTTGTATTTAGGAATGGAGGAAGTGTATACTACATAATCTGGATAAATATGATTGACACTTCTGCAAGATTAACTGTATCCTTCTCTTGGAAAATTAACTACCTATGCCCTTGAATATATAGTTTTCGACAATCTTATTATGGTTCATATGTTAGATCATTTTAATCTATATAATGCATTTATAGTGAACACTGATTCTCTTATGCGCCTCTCGTTCATCTGTAAGATACTCGCTAATCAGAATTGACTCTTAATTTTGCTGTCAACAAATTCATCCAAGTGATCAGTAATAGTAAACTGTTGGTACTAGTTATAGTGGCATGGTCTCTTTATATCTATTTGAACTGCAATGTGGGTTTATACTAACACCACCTCCTTGAATTATCACACACAGTATCCTTTCTTATTCTTTGGGTTATTCTTTGGAAATAAGTACTTTGCATGATAGGTTCTAGCTCTCCATATGAATAATCACTTGATCTGGTGATCTGTTTTTAATCATAGAAATAAAATGATTCATGTGTTTCTCTTGATTATCTTCTGCAGGGGCATGGCCTATCTTCATAACGAGCCTAATGTTATCATTCATCGGGACTTAAAGCCAAGGTATGATGCCTTTACCTGTTTTTGCTAATGCGAGCAACTTCATATCTGGTCTAACCTATTATGTCAATCCCCAGAAATATTCTTTTAGTTAATACTGCTGCCAACCACTTGAAAGTTGGAGATTTCGGTCTTAGCAAGATTATCAAATCTCAGCATGCCAATGATGTATACAAGATGACCGGAGAGACCGGAAGCTGTAAGTCCCCATAAGTTATTTGATTTTTCTTTCCTCTCTTATACTTATCCTCACTAGTTGGCTTGATAATTGTTCAAAAATATAGATCGGTACATGGCTCCTGAAGTTTTCAAGCACCGGAAATATGACAAGAAAGTTGATATTTTCTCCTTTGCCATGATACTTTATGAGGTAATTTTCCATCTAAACTTAGAATCCAGCAACGTGTCATATTGTATGATCATGCCTGTTCAAAATGACAGTAAATGTTACTTTCGATTGTAGATGCTGGAAGGGGATTCACCTTTTTCCAGTTATGAACCTTATGAGGCTGCTAAGTATGTATCAGACGGGCATCGCCCAACTTTCCGTTCAAAAGGACATACCGCTGAGCTGAAAGAGTAAGTGCAAGCTAAACAGTACCCTCTTAATATTCTGCTGTTGCCATGTTCATGTAAGTCTCCAGTGTTGTAACATGGTTTTCCTAATTGTAGATTGACTGAGGTATGTTGGGCTGCGGATGTCAATTTGAGACCATCTTTCCTAGAGATACTCAAGAGGCTGGAGAAGATCAAGGAAAGCTTGGCATCCCACGATCACCACTGGCATTTATTCTCACAATAGCAATGCATATATTCGTTACGAGCAATTTAAACTACAGGTGTTGTTGTGAATCTGAATTGATTTACTTGGGAAATTGGTGCCGATTGTGTACAGATTAGATGGGTCAAAAAATGTCCACTGAAACGACAAAAACTCTGCTGCTTTTCTTTCTGCTAAAGCTGATATATTCTTGTTTTCCCCATATCATTATTGCTTTTAGCTAATTCTGAAAGCTTGGAGAGTTATTGAGCCCATAGTTCTACAGCATATATCAAAATAGATAACCCACCCTTTACCATTTATCAGAGGTTTACATTCCTTGAAATTGCTTCAGAAGACCGTAGAGCTCTTATTTGTAAATGTACACTCTGTAGAGAAATACCAACTTTCAACTTTTTTTAATCTGGATAACTGAAAGATGATTTTGAGATTTTGCATAAACCAATTGCGTTCTCATCGTCACTGCCAAAGTAGCCAATTTTTTTTTGCTTCAACACATGCACGGGCAAGATTGGCACCATCATGAAAATAACACAGTTTTTTTTTTCTGAGGGGGGCACAGTTTTATTTGAGTAGTTTCCTCTGCAACGTTCTTTTTGTGTGATTTTCAATAGAAAAGAAAAACATTACGTTGTTTTCTGGATTTTACCTCAAAAAGTTGTTCCTGAGCGTCAGTCATTTTAAAATACCTGTTCTTTTAGGCCTCACCCGGCACCCTAGTCTTCAACAGAAAAAAAAACTGAAATACTCCCTCCGTCCCATAATATAAGAGCGTTTTTTACACTAGTTATGGGACAGAGGGAGTAATAAATTTCTATGCATAACTTTTCTATCATCACAAAAGAAAACATTACTTTGTAAAGATATGGCTCAAGGTCTACATGAAGTACCATGACAAGATTGTTGTGACATTGAATCAGTATTCAACGCAAAAATTGAGCTGGTGATCTTGTAAATAAAGCATGTATGAATCGATCATGTCTTTTCTTATGCTAAACCTAAGCAAAAGAAAAAGAGGTCCAAGAGACAGACCCGAATAAAGAAGAAATAGTAATCTTTGACGAATTAGGATTAAGCAGTGCAGCACCAACAAGAACACATTCAAATTCCTGAAATAGCACACAATTCTCACAGGAGTGGCCAACCATGACGGTGTACAAAATGCAACATTTATAACAAAACCAAAACTCAAACATATATTTTGAGAAGAGTGACAGAACCTGCAAAGTTGCAACATAGAAGCAACACGACCAGGCTTGAAAATTTAAAACCAATGAATTTATCAAATCAGAATAGTTGGGGCTTTTCACGGAGAAACAGGCTCAGAGTTGGCTCACCACTGTAAATATTTCATTTGAATTGTTTTAGCTGGGAGAATTTCACTAAAAATGTAACTCCGAAATGCAGAGTGTTTATCATCTCAAATCTCAAAAAGAGGAGGCGCACAAGCTTTGAAAATTTTAAACCAACTGATTTATCAAATCAAAATTCAGATTAGTTGTGGCTTTCTCACAGAGAAACACGATCCTAGAGTTGCTCACCACAGTTAATATTTCATTTCACATGTTTGAGATGAAGAAATTCATCAAAAAAGTAACTCTGAAATGTTTATCATGTCAAAACGAGGAAGCACAAGCTGAATTCAAATTTAAATTCAGTATTGGTGGGGTCTACTCACAGGAAGAAGACACCCTTCAATAATTAGCAGCACAAAATTTAAATCAAGGATTGGTGGGGTCTACTCTCAGGGAGAAGACATCCTTCAGAAATTAGCAGCATAAACTTTAAATTAAGGACTTGTGGGGCCTTCTCACAGGAGAGAAGACACCCTTCAAAAATTAGGGTATGCTGCTTAGTGTGGCGTGCACACGGTATTCTTTAGTAAAAGGCGAAAGAATAGTTCGCTTTGTGCTCACCACGCAGCTGCGTGCCTTTCACTGCTCCCACTACGCCCTCTTATATAGCCGAGCTCCCTCCCCTCTCTTCCTCAGCCAGGCGAGGTGGGACTAAACGAAACGCGGCTGGCTCCGCCTCCTCCACTCCCGTCGCACATGCTTCACCAGCAAAGCCCACAGAACAACAGAAGACAATATGGGCCAACCAGGTGATCAGCCCACCCCAGAGGCAACAATAGCCCAGCCCAACAGGCCCGTCGCCTCACACTTCTGCAACTCCTTTTGAGTGCGGAACAGACACACACAAAAAAGAGTGCGGCACACCCATCAGAATTTTTATTTTTTTTCGAAACGGAGGCAAAAGATTTGCCTCATCAATTAATTAAGAAGAAGAGAATTGCCCAGTTAATTAACGGAAAACCGGGCGAAAACCGATACATATAGACCACATGCGGACTACTCGCTAAGAACCAAACTCCATAACCCCACTATCAACCCATCAGAATTTGATCCGTTCCTCAAAAAAAAAAAATTGCGACACATTCCTTCCTAGGTCGTGTGAGCACCATGTAAAATCGGGTGATTCTTTATTCTGCTATTGTGAACCCGGGAAACAATTTGTATTATTTGGTCACTACAACATTACTCACGAGTCATAACAGTAGCGACGATGTGGCTCTACTCAGCTCTAGAAAAAGAAAACAATGTCACTCTACGTTACATCATATGAAACCATCAACAGAAACATTTCAGCCCTGTTCAAGAAAAAAGGGGAAACATTTTACAACTGTATTTGATCGGGCAGAAGATAGGGCACAGAAAGGCATTTCACAAGTATGATGATCGACGGTTTCTTTCTTACTGATGGTTCGAGTATTCGCTTGGAAACATAGGTTAACAGCTGGCAGAAACAATATACCCTAATTCGCAACGATTTGTTTGTGATCATGGGGGAACTACAGCAGCTTCTTTCTCTCGAAAAAGGTCTTCAGATGCCACAGCTGCAGCCCTGCCACGGATAAGCAGATGCCGAGCGAGAGGAAACTCAGCCACCCCATCCTCGAGCTTGTCTGCCTGTTGATGTTCTGCATTTCCTCCTCCCTGCACGAATGACAGGTCAAAAAAACTTAAACTTGGTTTCAGAATGACGTCACTAGTTACCACGGAATAAAATTTTGCCAGCGCCAAAGAAAAAAAACTACGCGGATGAATGACAGGCCAAAAACTTGATCTGAGAGTTAGCTGCGGTAAGTATATCATCAAATAAAGTTTTACCAGTGCTAGAAACAATAGGCAGTATTGTACCTTTCACGTAGATAAAACATTTCTTCATGGATAGATTTGATGGTATCCTCTAGCTTCTTCAGCTCTAGTTCCATCATCTGCAACAAGAATAGAAATGCATGAACAGGCTGATCCTACGACGAAACAATATAGGATAGTACTACTGCAGCCATATACTGCAGTAAATCACTGTATATTACAGCCAAATACTAATTTAATAATCTATAACATGTCTTGGAAGATCTATGTATTTTTAATAGTAATAATTGGTGATGTACAACATGTTACTGGCTGTTCTCTCAAGATGTATAGGCATGACAAACAAAATGGTGACTTAACAATGTTAATGTGTTTTGTTCATATTAAGACCATACTCACAGAACCAGATATATTTTTGGGGCTTATTTTATGACTTTATGAGCAGTGTTCAAAAGCTACTACGAACCCCTATTGTGCCTACTGTTTAAGAACCAACACTAGCTGACACAATGATACACGTTACCAGCAATGATATGTCGATGTGCAATTATTATATGGACAATGTTGCAGATAAGCTACCAAACACCCAATTTCTGAGAGATAAAAGAATCAGCGGGCACTGAGTCTCTTTTCTGCATTCCTTTTCCTTTTTATGTGAAAATATGTGCTTATGATGAAGAGTCGATGAAAAATGGCTGCATGTCAAAATTAAAGATTGTCCAAAACATAAAGCCTTTGTTCAGTGAGAATCTGACTCTAAATCATACCTTACATTGTGCGCAAATGATGTTCACAATCCAAGTACAATAACATACAAAACCAAGTAAAAAAAAGCCTAACAGAACATTAAAAAGTCAATGTTGTAACCTAATTCATATACATACTCTTGTACAAGTATCAAAGTGAGCAAATCAGAACACAATAGTTAGCTTAATTTAACTAACCACAGCACTATTCAGCATCTTCTCCAGACACACTAATATGCAATAAAGGATTGGCTTGCAAGAACTGTCTCATATGCTTAAACTCCTTGAATCAAAAATTGAAACAACACAGATGCATACTCGAATCAACTCAGGCCTAGAAGGGACCAACATACCACCTCACAGGCGGATCGCTCAACATAAAGTAGAAAAGCCAGAAGTGAATTGATTGCAGGTGTGCTCAAAATGACTAGTGTCTACACATACCACAGAAAATTGCATCGCAACCCACTCAAGCAAACAAGCAAACTAAGAAACTCAACCTAAAAGTATATAAATGACAAAAATTACAAGAGATAACGGTTTCCACACCGAGATAATAACAGACGCTGCAAGCCTACCCTGTTCTCTTTAAATTTCAGCATACCCTAGAACTGAATAACTCAATCAAAGTTACAAAATCTACCAGTCCTAGAGACATACACACGTAAATTGCTCTCGAACAGACAAACTTGCAAACAACTCTGTCAATGACATGACCCCCGAACAACCCATCATAATAACCCAACAACGCGCGCAAACTCACAATTTATTTCACATCCAAGCACCCACGTGGGTGACAGGCAGAGTCTATAATTCCCTGCTGCTAGGCGCAAGTTGCAAATTCAATAGAATGAATCACTAGCCAAAACTATATTATCTACAGGGCAATTCAGCCATATGAAACAACACATTAGTTGAAATTTGAGCACAAACTGAAGTAAGCAGCCCAAGGGCGAATCGAAACACTCACATCGACCTTGCCTTTCTTGGCGACGTTGGACCAGTCCTTGGCCATGACGCCGCTCTTCCAGTCGAACTCGAAGGTGACGGTGACGGGCGGCTTGTGGTCAGGCGCCCAGAAGCAGGCCAGGTAGTCCCCGGCCTCCACCGCCGTGAAGGCGAAGTGCCCCGACTGCACGTTCTCGGAGTAGTGCATGCTGTTCCCGTACGGCGACGTCACCTGCGTCGACCCAATCGCACAAATCAGCGAAATCAACAGATCGCCGCGGTTTGCCCCAAACCCAATCGCGGGCCGCACGACGACGATCGATTAAGTACTTACCCTGAGGGAGACGCGGTGCGACTCGGGGAGCTGGGCGTCGGGGTAGCTGGAGTCGGGGGCGACGACGCTGTACTTGCCGACGGCCATGGAGTCGACCTTGATCTCGTCGGAGATGCACTTGGTGTGGCCGGACTCGAGGTCGAACCGGAGGGCGCGCGCCGACGGGGAGGCCGCGAAGAGGACGGCGGCCAGGAGGAGGAGCGTGGAGGGGGGCAGCCATCTGGAGGCGGGGGATCCGGGGCGCCGCGCGGCCATGGCCGGAGATCGGAGCGGGAGTCGAAGCGCGAGGCAAGGTCCGCGGACGAAGTCACGAGGTGGTGTTGGGCGTTTGGCTGACTGGGATGGGGATGGGGGAGGAGGGGAGAGGCTTGTTGAGGTTTGTGACGTCCAAGTGACTAAAAGTTGTACTAGCCCTATCAATCTTTTATTAGCTGATATTTAGTGATCAATTTCCCTAAAAAAACTGAGAATAATTTTCATAGTACTCGAACTATGAGATCGCTTCGTGCATTAACATTGTTGAACGTTGAGACAGCAGGAGATTATAAGAGTATAAGTTAGTTGATTGATTGCCAATTTGATCTTCTCAAGGGAAGGTGCAGGTTTTTAAGTTGGTATCTGAACTTTTAAACCACAATCTTGGGATTCTGCAAAACTTGAACAAATTTTTCTATTGGCAGATGTGTGCGAAATTCGAAGGATTGTCTCGCCATGGGCAGGTGATGATTTCATTGCATGTCCGCTAGAAAAAAAGAAAGATAATTTTATGTTAAGAGTGTCTATCACTTTGTTTTAATGAGCTCCTGAGTGGCTCAGTCGTTTAGCTCTCGGCCATATGAGAGATGTGAGTCATCACGGATGGAAGGCCATCTGGTCAAGTCCTGCACCCCCTAAGGTTCTTACCTTCGTTCGGCAATTAGCGATAGGTTCCCTTGCAACATGATGCAATAAAGATAAGAGAAATTTGGAGGCAACGCCTACTTGCCTAGTTTGTGGAGTTGAACATGAGGAGTTCATGTTTTTTGTACTAAGCGTTTGTGGTGAGCCATGGCCTCTGAACGGGAATTGTTGGATGTTATAAAGATACAACTTGTAGGGGATGAGTGGTTCATCTAGCTGGTGTGCGAGCTTGACGAATCTATGCAAATTCGTTGCTGCTTCTATGAAGGATTTGGCATGTGATAGACTAATTGGTACATGAGAAGACTGTCCCTCTAGTGACTGTATCTACCAGATTCCTTTCTAGTTATCTTGCATCTTTGCAATCCTTGGAGGCATGTTCATCATGTTGAGGTAAAACGGTAGCACACAATTGCTTCCCGCTCACGAGACCCACATGCAATAACACTATTGTCGATGTTTTCTCGCCATGGATTTCTTAGCTTTCCTAGTCACGTGAAACTGGATACCGATGGTTCCGTTCTTGACGGGAGAGCCAGCGCAGGGATGATACCCCGGGACCATGAGGGCTCCATCATATTCAGTTCATGTCGACAACTACACACATGCAATGACGTTCTTGAGGCTGAAATTTTGGCAATCATTTAAGGACTCTCTCGCACTACAATGGGGCAACCTTCCTGTTGAAGTTAAATCCGACTATTTGGAAGGGATGTCAATGATCAAGAGCATGGAGAGCAACAAATTAGAATTAGAATATTCCTTTTTTTGGTTTGTGAGATCAACGATAGTGTGGGAGAACATAATTCTTATATTAATCAAATTCACCATAGGGGTAATTGTGCTAATCATTTCATGGTTACCTTCGGTAGGTTGCAAGGACGGACGGCTGTTTGGCTTGGCTCCGGGCCAGAGGAAGTCTTGAACATTGTAAGACGAGATTGTAATGCATAAACCTTGAGTAGTATAAGAATTATTTCACTAGAAAAGTTAAAGATGTGTATATGAGAACTTATGCTGAAGTCTGTGTACACCGATAAATTGACACATCGACATTTTTTAATTAGTTTGAGCACTTATGTCATGAATGGCTATGAAGCGAGTGTCTCAACTAGCGGCTTAAAGCCATCAAAGATTAGATCACATCAAGACTTCATTGACATAGTTGCTCAAACAGTGGCTCGGATAGAAGACAAGGCCACCTCAAAGCCATCAAAGATAAGATCACATCAAGACTTCATTGACATAGCTGCTCAAACAATGGCTCGGATAGAAGACAAGGCCGCCTCAAAGCTCCCTTTCCCTCAGCATTATCCAAGGTCTGAGAGGACTCTCAACTCTATAGGAATCTGGGATGTAGCTTTGGTAGTTGTTCCATAGCCAAATATAACATTTCATACATTAAACAGCCTTGAGATGCAATTTTAAAGGTTTTATTTCATATAAATATATGGTAGCTGAAAACAGAAATCATGATTTATATGACAAATGTGGTCGTACTGTTGTATCTGATGAATCTCATTAATCTTTTCTATATACCGATTGAGAAGTTAGGCATCACTTTTTTTAACATGCTATGTATCATGAAATGGGAGAGTAGTTTCTAATGAAACTTATGCAAAATCTCGCTTTTCCAAGCGGAACCTAAACAGGCAATCCTATTTATTCAGTATATACAGTACAGTGTATCCAACACAGGCTTGTGATGTAACTAATCTTTACTATCCATGTGTATGGAGTTTGTGGGGGTGGTGAGGTGTTCGTCGTCCATTCACCTCTTCCACCCCCAACTTCACAACCTCCGAACAAAAATTTAAGAACTTTAACAATACATTCCCTGAGAATCTGAGAGGCCTATGCCAGCTTCCAAGCAGATGGATAGATCCATGCAAAAAATATACAGCAATAAAGATCAGATATATGATCCAGCATTTTTCAGACTGGCTATGCTTTGTCAGGCACTAAGCTAATTTAGCCCCATCGCTCAACTAAGATATTTAGCCGAGTTTAACCTCAATGTTGGGTTACGATTCGTCAGTCTGAATCTGAGTCCTCTATCTCCCACTGACGAGCATCTCTGGGTTCAGGATCCGCGCTGGATTCAGGTTGACCAAAGAGTGTCGTGCTAAGCTTTGGACGGCGACGTTTGTCGGTCTTGTCTTTAGGAGCTTCGTCCTGAAAGACATAATATACGGTCAGAATTCAGCCATTGCGTTCATATAACATACGGTCAGAATTCAGACATAATATATGGTCAAAATAATATACGCTTCCTGAACTATATATAATACACAGTTAACTCTGAGTCAAAGCTTAACATCAAGTGCCATTATGTTGATGTTTTATTGGAAGAATGAACAGCAAACCATGACAGTGTGGGTGATTGTATTGCTGGCCTCAGTATTTCCTTTCATGCTACAAGTCAGGGAAAATGATATTGCAGTTTACGACTATTGCTCGTGAATAGTTCATGCCAATGTCAGGGAAAATGATATTGTAGTTTACGACTATTGCTCATGAATGCTTCATGCAATACTATATTGTCATTTAGCTGTAATCAGCTTGAGCAACAAATGTGAAAGCTGAGCGGAGTGAATGCTTGTTTGGATCAGTAAAGAATGCAAGTGGATATTATTTGACTTGGTAAGTCAAACAAGTACTTACCTTTGGAGTCTTCTGAGCTGATTGGATATTCTTGAACCATATTGTTCCCCATGAAATGCATGCAAGCATCAGCAAAGCTGGACCAATCCTTGGGTCAGTTAAGTAATCTCTGAAACTGAAGCCACTGTTCTGAACCCTCTCTTTTAAACTTTTCCCTGCCGAGCGGATACCTTTGGTACCGCTTAACCATTCCTTATTTGTTTCTTCAGGTACAAGATCTGGTACCTTTGAAGTCTAGATACAGAAAATGGATGGCATAATGGATGAATAATTGTTCGACAAATATTGCACTTCAGACAAAATAATTTCTCCGAAAACATTATCATCTAATAGTTTAATGAAAAAAAATTATGTTTCTAAAAATGCTTGTGAATTACTTGGTACGAATAAATGTGCTCATTTGATCTTGGCTTAATTCTAATTGTTAGAAAAGTTTCTTTGTACATAAACCATCAGTGCAAGGCTATAGAAAGGATTGGGTATTGCACATTTGCAGGGAGCACTGATATGATGTAAAAGAACAAATATTATGCATTCTTATTTCATCAGGATGATTCTGACATGAGGCAAAGGCGCAAAGCTGACCGAGGCAGACTCAGCAGGAAGAAAACGACCACACATCATTTTTCTGCTGAAACATGCCCAGGGATCGACCTCACTGCTTGTTTGCTCATTCGAAGATCTTCCAAAAAATGTAAAACCTCTCCTCTAATGTGCTTAAAAGAGTTTCTGACCATGTAGCTACTTATTGCCATTCCTTCAACAACTTAGGTATAAGCATAAAAGTTACACCCTCTGTTCAAATTGAACTGCCAAAGTGTCTTATATTAATGAACAGAGGTACTCCTCCGATCCAAAATAACTGTCGTGGTTTTAGTTCGGAGGGAGTAGTAAATAGCAAGAATGTGGTCGTAACACAATTTTTTCTGGTCCTTCTAATGCACAACCACCTTATACCTACAAAGTTTTAGCTTACTTGTTACCCATATGTTCTGAGCATCATTTAAAGCATGCTTTCATCATATTAAGGCAGCATGATTAGCACGCCACCATCAGCCAACAGAAACCATAGCGACGATTTACCATAGTTAGAGAAGATTGGTGGTGGAGTGGAAGACGATGGAACAACACGAACGAAGCAACACGGGCATAAATGGAAGAGAGAAGAAACATCACACGATGTCCGATTGCAAGGAGGAAGTAATCTGAAAGGGTGTGCTATAGACTTGTAGTCGCTAGAGAGTGGGCCGTGGTAGGTAGTCATTGTTTGACGCTGGTGAAAAACACATGTACACCATACTGAGAGATGCATTCACAAAACCAAAAAATCATGAATGGAGGAAGATGACAACACCTTGTACTCTTGCACGGAGAGGGTGGAGGAGACGTGCGGGGGAGAAACATATGGGTGGGTGCACAATGGTTGATGTAAAGAGAGGGAGCAGAAGAAATACTGTAGTAAGGGTGGGGAAGAGACATCCATAGCAACATATGGGGCACTTAGATAGTGCATTAAAGTTTGCACCCCAATGTAAAGGTACGTGTCTCCTGCGCCAAGTGAGTTTAGGCATCTTTGGTATTCTTGGTGTCAGGTCCACATTTAATTTTGTTCCATATAGGTTTTTTTATTTAAGCGGATATGTTATCTCTTCAGAAATACTCCCTCCGTAACTTAATATAAGACGTTTTTTGACACTATGACTGTGTCAAAAAACGTCTTATATTAAGTTACAGAGGTAGTGCTACTTAAGTTCAGAAGACATGCTAGAGAAAGTTCAAAAGGGAACATGCTTTAAGAGACTTACAAAGTAAGGAATTTCTCTAGTATCTCCATCTTTGATAATCTGAGAGACCCACTTGTTTATCTGCCAAAATAAGCAATTAAAAATGTATTTTAAGCTGCATGAGTTGACCGCATATATATGTAAACTAATAAACCAGTGAATTACGCACCTCCAGAATTTCATCTGGGCCATTATACCTAGCCACTAGCTGGGAGGCATCAGGAGTGTCCTGTCCCTGGAGAGTCTCTATAAGATTATTCTTTTTGTCGGCTTTCAACGCCTCGTATGTTGCATTTCTTTGGAAACGGACAATGAATACTTCAGGCTTATCATTGTCATCTTCAAAGCCTCTAGGACCACAGGCTCCATTGTAATCAGTGGCAAGGTAGAAGGCACAAATTTTCTGTAAAAGGAGGTACTGTTATCCAAATTTACAAGCTTGTTTGATTGTTCAGAATTGAGAATGTCATGACTAAGCCATTTGCTGAAGCTAGGGCCTAAATTGTTCCAAATACTCTGATTCCAGTGATATACAGCATCATTCATTGCAGAATCATTGTAGAATTTCAAGAATATACACTTAAATGGACATTGTTCCACTTGGTGGAAAATACTCCTTTCAGGATTTGTAGCTAATAAGCACATGAAAGGATCGCTTAATTTCTAACAGAGATTAATCACAAACATAGGAGGGTATGTTGCATATGGTAAAAAACAAAAACAAAATATGGATGTACAGCGAGAGCACATTTCAGGGTTTTAATGAGGCATGCGCTACAAAATCATATCACTCGAGAGGCCCGCTTCAATCAGATCAAGTACTGTTCTGCAATACTAGAGGCTATGATTCTTATCTGTAAGCTGGTCATGTAGTAGTATAAGGTAATGTAATGGACCTGGAACCTGGATATGAGGTGGTGAGAGAACCCATGAAAGACATCTTTATCTGAACTGAAGCAGATAAATATGCCCATATCTCAACTAATTCAGGAAAGCAGAGCAATAGCTAGTGTGGCCTTCTGGGGCATGTCACCAAACGGCAAGTACAGCACCACAAGCTTAAAAAATGTATATTAAAAATAAATATGCCCATATCTCAACTGAAGCAGATAAATATGCCCATATCTCAACTAATTCAGGAAAGCAGAGCAATAGCTAGTGTGGCCTTCTGGGGCATGTCACCAAACGGCAAGTACAGCACCACAAGCTTAAAAAATGTATATTAAAAATAAAAAAGAATTTTGTGAAGCAGTCTACCTTCTGCAATTCTCCATCCAACCAAACAAAGGTCAGCCTGTCATCTTTTAAGGCAGTTGCAGCACTTGTTACCTCTACTAAATTTTCCAAATTCCCAGCAGTACTTCCACCAGCAGCACTGAGTAGTTGGTCCTGGGCCTTCCTCAAAATCTAAAGAAGTTTCAAGTTCCAAAACAATATAAGTTGGCAACTAATGAATGATGAAGTTGGTTCAGGAGGGATAACTTCACCAACTTGTTATTGCACCCAGCTTATAGAAACTTACTTGTCTCTTTTTACTTAATTCTACACCAGGGCGACCTGCAGCTATTACACAATACCATATCATCATTTCTTTCCCAGCGCGTGAATGACCTCTAGCATCACAACCAAGATCCAAAGATGTGTCACTTCTTAGCTGCTGGAGTTCTAATCAAGAAAAGAATTAAATGAGTATTACTGAAAAAGCACATAAGTTCTCTTAGTAAAAATGACAATCCAGTATACTGCTGATTCGCAGACAAATTTTAATAATACCTTGGTGCTTATGCTCCTCCATTATCTCTGTGAACTCGGACTTGCTAAAAGTTCCTGAATTGGAGGTAAAAAATCAGTTTGGTCCGATTTCACTGCATAAAATCAAAAGGATAAATAGGGGATAGAAGCTTGCCATGGTATACAACAGGTTTGGCACCTGGTCCCTTCAAGAAAACAAGTGCAGGAGCAGATTCCACTCCTAATCTGCTTGAGCAGAGACAAGAAAGTACTGATAAACATGATTTCTTAAAATTAAACACCGAAGTACTAATAGCTGTAGCCGATTCGACATGGAAATATGGTTTGCCATACTTAGCAAAAGATGTGTTTTGCTTCACTACAATGCAGTGCTCAATCACCGATCTGGAAATTACATTTTTTACTGCTAGAAAGCTGCTACCTGCGATTTCAGCATGCAGTGTTCAGACAACCCTAACTATCTTTAGAAAAACAGTAAAATTTCTCAAGAATACAGGTCCTAGAATACACAACTATTTATGCCATGAAGTCAAGGTAGTTTCCGCATACACGTGGCTTAGCCCTTCACCTGGTCGACTCCAATGTAACCCATGCACGGCCAATTTCTTGGCCTAGTTAATCAAACCAATTTCATGCGACCAACTTCGTGCATGTGCCCTAGTTAATCAAGCCAATTTCTTAAACGCTCTTATATTAGTTTACGGAGGGAGTACATCATATTCCTTCTTCCAGACCAAACAAATATCGGCTAGTAGCCACGATAATCAATTTACTGAAACATGAAACTGCGGTGAGAAGGTCTAAAACTGCAGTTTGCATAGTTAGCTAGATATGGATGAGGTTTCACAATGCTTAAAAATATTCAAACAGCTTGTATCAACTGAAGAAAATTCCAACTTTACTTATCAAAGCATGCAGCATTCAGTAGAAACAATTATACCATTATATGAATACCAACTCAGGCACAAATAAGAAAGAACAACATATTGTACATAAAGAAGTAAAGAACGTACGAATTCCACCAGATCTGGGATTCCTCTTCTTTCCATAGGACAAATGCAAAGGATGCATAGCTGGAATACTCTTGGGCAGCTTGGCGAAGGAATGGAGCCGCACGCTCCCCAGTGCTTGAGAAAAAGATAGCCTTGACCTATGCCGCACATAAAAAAGATGGCATGACTAGATTATAGCTATGGACTTAGGATTGTATGCATGTGCTCCACATGCACATTGAAAAGGGTGCAAGTAATAAGTAAGGCAGATAGCACAGATGCACGGGCATATGTATGAAAACAAAAGCAGTAAATCTAGTTACCTTATGATGGCTACTCTTCCCAATGAACTGGGGTCCCTGAAATGATATAAGCTCTGCATTAAAGGCGCAGTCCCTCTCAGGTAAAAATCTATCTAATTAAAGTGCAATTCTAGAATAAAAACAGACAGCACAGCGAATTATGAACAACAGGAATCATACATAGAGTGTACTCGTTGGCTATTGTACTTGTGGTGCCATAGGTTAGGATAATGCGGCATATATAAATTAATGATGCCATAAGACTAGGACTTGCTGTTGCAAATAAACAAGTGAAGACGGAACTGAGTCCTGAATTCCACTAACTAGGAGGTCATACAACCTCAGCTCCAAACTAGTACCTAGATGTGAGCGTCGAGAACATTCACTTAACTAGCATAATGACAAACCTATCTCAGGAGCCAAGAAGGCAATTTCATATATACTAACACCCATTAGGTCTGTACTCCATTGCCTAACACAAACTGTTTGCATGTTGTACTACTGATTACTGTGATTTCATATGATTCCTTAGAACACCACATAAACACGAACAAAAAAAAAAGAGCCAGTCAAAAACCTTACCAGTGTCTCCTTTGAATAGTACAAGATCCGAGGTAAACCAACAATTGATGATGCTACCCAGTTGACAACAGAATCCACAGTTAGCTCACCTGGGTACCTGGGTACAGGAAATGGTTATATTGAGGTCATATCTTTGGAATCGATTGAAATAGACATGTCGTAAACCATTAACAGGAATAGACGAGTCACACTTTTATTATTTCTTTAACTGATACTCTGGAATCTGATTAGAACAGTCACCTCATATAACAGGATGGATTTCTGCAGTTAGCAGGATATGCAACAAGAGCTGGTATACCTGCATGGGTAGATAGATATATATAGGAGTAGTAAAGAACATTAAACAGGAAAAAGTCTTTTTTTCTTCTAAAAAATAATACAAAGAACATGTAATGTTCAAAATTCGAACTACTAAATATTACTTCCTCCATCCCATAATATAAGAGCGTTTTTTACACTAGTGTAGTGTCAAAAACGCTCTTATATTATGGGACGGAGGGAGTACTATCTAAAAGACTAAAATTCAGGGCAAAATTGTAGGAAGTATTTTTGTTGATGCTCACTAAGTTGAAAAAAGATCCCTCCATCCTTGGCACGAAATGATGAACCTACCAGTTGTCTTGAATACTCTTTGGTTTCCACATTATTCCCAATAGCAAAACAAGGTTGTCATATTAAATTCCCAGAAGACCGCTTTACCAACTGTGAACCTACTCATTTTGACACAAATCCAGAACTAAAAACACCTAAAATAAGCATTTCCATGTGCTGCACTTGCACTTGCACTGATAATAGCTAAAGTGCTTACTTATGTTCATCTTATGATTGAAAATGACATGCTATCTTTTTTGTAACTTTAATGGCATGTTATCTTGACTTACCATTGCGGAAAAATGGCTGTTGAGAGAACCTTTTTTCTGCAAAATACCCCGCCAGTGGCACATCACCAAGTTCTACCATAGCAGTGTTGGCCACGCCGTCCAGTCGAGTGTCTAGATCATGAAGCAAATATTTTGTCAGAGACAAGAATGAAAGGTGAGGTATATTTAATCCACAAAGAGAATTCTCTATAGAAACTTCAATTTTTTGCATTACAAGACAGAAGCTGTAGTTATATTGAGTTGTCAACAATAGCATAGTATTTGGGAGAATGGAAAATGCCATCAAGTCAGCTGCCAATAGATCCACAAAATTGCTGCTCAAAGATAATGGCTAAAACTTCAGTTTAAAATGCAATGCTAGAAAGTAGCAAACTCTCATTTCGGCAAAAATATTTCCATGGACAAATCTAGTTATAACTTGTGAGTGCAGAACATAAATTTCTATATATTTGTGAAGTGTCAATTTAAAAGAAGAAAATGAACAATGCTAGATCACAATTCTTACACCTCCATTTTTACCCATCATCCTTAAATATTACTAAATGCTATAAGAGGGATCGGACACAGAAAAACCAATGCAGCTCTGTTTCTCCACGGCTAATACTTTGACAATCACTGATCTTTTTATACAGTGTACAAATATGTTGTTAAAGAGTGCAATGCACAAAATGGCAAGCAAGTCAACATGGTAAACATACCAATTTGCTTCCAGTACTCAAAAAATTGAGCGCAGCGAGGACTCCCCTTTGAATAAACCTGCACAGTAGGGAAAAAATACAGCTGGTGGTCAGGATTTCTTGTTTGCCAACTTCCAACAAAAAGATGTTCTCAAGAATCATGCAAATATGACGTACATAGAGCACTGAAAAGTTAAAATTGATGAAGTTACGGCCTTCTAACTTACCTGTATGAGCAACGGGTAATCTTCAGCAATGGCAGACATCAATGAGTCACGTGTGAGTACATTGAAGGCATGACCAGTCGAATCTATGGAACGGAAATGGTGTTATGTCCAAGACATCAAAAGGAAAACATCATTTCTTATCAGAATTAGATGGTTATAACTTACGAGATAAAGAATCTTTTAACAAAGGTAGATCTATTTTCAGGAAGTGCTCTTTTTGATATTGTTCTTTGACTCTCTCGAAGATATCCTACCATGATGAAAATTGCAAACTAAGGGTTAGATCAGAAAGGAAGAAAAGAAAAAGCCTTCCCGCGGAGACGCACGCAGAGAGGGAGGGGAGCAGGGAGATCACCGTATGATGATCCAGACCAAAAAGATCATAGTCCCGCTTCCAAACTGGATTTGTCAACAGCTCATACGCATAACGGATCTGTATAAAACACCACAGAACTATAAAGTTGTTTATGAAAGTCCATTAGTTGGAACTTTAAATAGATACTACAGGGACCAAATAAGTAATGTACATGTTACTGAAACAAACGTAATGTACATAGAAAAACAAATAGTGGAAGTAATGTACACAGAAAAGCAAATAGTGGAATTGCAGTTTAAGGTGCTTCGGTGCACTGTGGAAAGCTAATTCAGCCCCCATGCATACAACACATGAAACTTTGTATGAAATATCTTCGTATTGCACATGGAAATTACAAAGGCTAGTAATTATGGATTCTGACTCTCACCTTTATAATATCAACAGTTGACCGGTCATTTGTTTCAGCAAGCCTAAAGTTGGCATCATGAAAAGGATCATTAATTTGTTGTAAATAATGAATTAAAAGTATGAAAACAAAACATGGCAAGAGGCAAGAAGCATAATGGTAACCAACAAAAAAAATCCAATTTCAGGTATGGAATCATGTGCAGGGCCTCATCAGAGTTATATGTCACCTATGCTAAACTCCAAACTGTGACCTAAAAGTTGATATTCCATATCACGAGCTCGATGCCAATACACACTCTACCCTACAGGCAAAACTTTGCAGCTAGTAATGGGCACAACCAGAATTACTCCTAAAAAACAATATCTTAGTAACAGAATGGAGCAGGGAATTAAAAGCCTAGTCAAGCACCGACAGTCAGCAGTCAGCACCATCAATACATGTTGACGTATAAATGTATTGCCTAGTCTCTTCCATCAGATCGGTCTTTTGGTTGCATTGGCTAGAGCATGCACTTCTACATGGTATCAGAGCTAAGAGGTATTGAGTTCAAGACCCAGCTGGCGCAATTAAATTGCAGCCCATTTTCGGTCCACGTTTAGGCCTGAGGGAGCCACACGTGAGGGGGATGTTGACGTATAAATGTATTGCCTAGTCTCTTCCATCAGATCGGTCTTTTGGTTGCATTGGCTAGAGCATGCACTTCTACAATACACACAAAAGATAAACTAGACTGTGTTTGCTACTAACAGAACTGTCAGATTTGTCACCGGAAACATCAATAAGTTACACCGACGCTACCAGATTGTTAAGCTCCAAACAGATGCCCAGCCCCACCAAGACCAGATCACGAGTCTACTGCCCAAACCAGAACTCATGGACTGCACTTGCGACTACAGTCAGACTCCATCCAGCAAAGCACACCACAGGGTTGGAAGTGAGAAATTATCAGTGAGGTCGGATCAATCGCGCTCACCACTCCTTGGAGAGCAGCTCGTATGCCTCGACCACCTTCTCCACCGGCGCAAACCTCTGGATTCCGAGCGCTGCAACCAAATCAACCAATCAATCCAACAAATCTCAGAACGCGTGCGAGAGCGCGAGGAGGGAGCGGGGAGCGGGGGAGCGGGCTCTCACCGTCGTAGTGGGAGGGCGGAAAGGATTTGGGCAGGACGAGGAGCTGGAAGAGGAAGCCGGCGGCGGCGAGGAGGATCGGCAGCCAGTAGCGGCGCAGCTCCTCCGGAATCGCCATTGGGGACAGCGCGGGCGGTAAAGGCGAGGTGGGATTATCAGGGGGTTTTGCACTTTTGCTCTTTGCGTGGCGACAAGGGCTTTGCTTTTTAATTTAATTATTATTATTATTTAATTAACAAATCTAAGTTATTCGATTGAACGGTTTAAAAAAAGGTTTTGCATGTATTTTTTTTAAATAAACAGTTGTAGTTTCTTTTTCCAAAAAGATTCCTCTGTCTATGCTGATCGCTAAAAAACAAAATCGATAGTGTGGCACACATATATACAAATATTAAAGTGGCTAAGCTAGCCTCAACCTCAAGCGTTTCAAGTGAGTGATCTTTTTAATTGACACGTGTCTTTGGTTTTTCTATGGTTCATTCTTGATTTTGTGCTTTTTTTACCTGTGTAAGTGCTCTTTCTGTTAAGGTCTGGTCCACCGTTTTCATGTATCAAAATGACTAAGTTAGTCTCAACCTCAAGCGTTTCAAGTGTTAAGCGTAACTAATTTGTTTAATTGACACGTGTCTTTATTTTTTGGGTCCACTCTTGGTTTTACACTTTTTTTTACCTGTGTTTAGTTTTCTTTCTATTAAGGTCCGGTCCATCGTCTTCGTGTATCAAAGTGGCTAAGCTAGCCTTGATCTCAAGCGTTTCAAGTGTTGAGCGTAACTGGTCTGTTTAATTGACACGTGTTTTTGGTTTTTCTATGGTCCATTTTTGGTTTTGTGCCTTTTTTACCTATGTTAGTGGTCTTTCTGTTAAGGTCCGGTCCACCGTCTTCGTGTATCAAAGTGGCTAAGCTAGCCTCAACCTCAAGCGTCTCAAGTGTTGAGCGTAAATGATTTGTTTAGTTGACATGTGTCTTTGGTTTTTCTATGATCCACTCTTGGTCTTGTGCTTTTTTTACCAGTGTTAGTGGTGTTTCAGTTAAGGTCCGGTTCATCGTCTTGGTGTATCAAAATGGCTAAGCTAGACTCAACTTCAAGCGTCTCAAGTGTTGAGGGTAAGTGATCTGTTTAGTTGACATGTGTCTTTAGTTTTTCTATAGTCCACTCTTAGTTTTGTGCTATTTTTACCTATGTTAGTGGTGTTTCTATTAAGGTCTGGTCCACCGTATTCGTGTATGTTGCGTATTTTTTAACACTATACAGATACAGACGCTCATACATGCGCAAATACACTCATCCTTATAAACGTACGCACACGCACGCACTACTTGTATGATCACCTCCGAGAGACTGGGGCGGCACATTATATTGAGATGGCAAAGTCACCACAGACGTCTTTGTAGTCGGCGGAAACATCTTCTCTACATGAACGCACATCGTCGAAAGGCCTAATGTAAATCGAAGAAAATGCAAGCATCAATGTCAAGTCTAGGACTTGAAACCTGACGGACTGAAGATATTATTATCCTCTTAACCATCCAGTCACAGGTTGGTCCAAATGAGTCGGCATCAGTGTCCATAGTTACCCATGACACCACGCTCTTTCATGTGGAAAATAACTTTCTTGCATGCTGCTATGATCTCCCTAGCTTCTACAAATAAGGAAGTACAAGGACCAACATGAACTCGTTAAATACACAGATACTTTCACGGCATCAGCTTGCTTTCAAACACATTGTTTCTATTTTTTCTCACTAAAAAAACAACATAAGTGCACACACAAACTTTCTGATTCGCGCCTCTTCCTACTAGTATTGTACTATCGTGGTCGGCGAGAGCATAATTTGATGGTGCCATTTTAAGCTAATTGTTAAAAAAGAGAATCCATTTAAAGCTCACACATAGTACAAAATTCCATTTTACCCAATAGCGTATGTATGAGCGTTTGCGTCTATATTATGTTAGAAAAAACATTTCAAGCCATTGTAAAAAATCCATTTTAAGCTTACATTTTCTGGTCCGTTTATTCATTCGTGCCATAAAGCAACGCTGATGACGACTGCTCGGCGGTCATGTTGAACCATGCTTCATGGTGGTGCATAACAAAAAAACGGTTAGGGGCGTTCTAGCTTGCAAATTGCTTGGCACCATTGTGCGTCGGCTTTGCAAACCTAGCTGGGCCACAATATCCAACTCTACAATCGCAAAGAAGAACCCTATTTATATGGCATCACAAACATTAGCACACATCCTTGCACAAGAGGCTGTGATCATCTTTTCAGAATCACCTTTGATTTTTATCAAATGTTCAAATTTGTTGAGCTCTGTGATTCCCAAATTGGGTAAGCACTGTGTAAGCCTATGTGTGTCAATATGTGGTTGTGGTACACCAATTTGTATATGCCTATGTTGTACACGGTGTTTCTAACAAAAAATTAGGTAACAGGTGGCACTATTGGTTTGTCCTTGCCTACAAGGAATGCCAACACACTTTCTGCAAATCATTGACAAATTCAAACACCGTTCCCTTATATCAGTCACACTCACAAGATACTTGGTGTAGTTAAGGTCAACATTCTTCAGTTTAGGCAACTTAAAAAATCCATCAGAGTTGATCTGTGCGAGCATCAACTTTTTGTAATTTGAAAATTCATCCAAAAAACCTTGATGACCTTGTACATGATCAATGTCTAATGCTGATTTTAAAATACACTCATAATCATTGTTACCTTGAATTGAATCTTTAGTTTTTTGACATTACTGGATCTAGATGACATGTAGAAGATTTTTACACGCACGTAATTACTGAAGTCATTTTCTTTTTTATCACAAGAATTGCACACCAGATTCATTGTAATTTTAATAATTCTAAAGTTGAACCAATATATAAATAAAAACTATCAATTCATCAAGTTCATACTCAAAATATAAGTTTCATCCTTTGTAACTTAACGCAACACCTTTTACATACATAAGGGTACCATCTTTTTTATCTGCATTATATTCCAGATCATAATATTTCATACTGCATAAACTTAATATGTCCAACAGATCAATTATTCCAACTAAACAAGCGAGTATAATGACACATAGTAGCAACATAAACATCAACGATGAGATACAACGGGTATTACAAACATTAAAGAACTCTAGAATAACAAACAACTACGGAGACGAAATATACAAGTACAACCAACGTCTTCAGTAAAAATCTTCATATATAACTCCAATCTCTTGTTGATATCATTGACGTCTTCCAATCGATGATAATAACAACTGCTCTATGCTCTTTCCTCTACAGAAATACTGGTCCAAGATGATTGTTCTTATATGAGAACAGGGGAGTACAAGAACAGACAACAAGCAACAAGAACAACACGATGAGTAGACATAATGAATCGGTCTTTCGGTGGAGTTTTATAAAAAGTGTTGGCCTATTATTAAGGGAGATTTGCTTCCGATGTTCCATGATTTATTTGCTGGATAGCTTCAGTTGTTTCACTTGAATTTTGGAATGATTATCTTGCTTCCTAAGAAAACAGAAGCTGTGCGGATCGAGCAGTTCAGGCCGATCTGTCTTCTTAACGCCAGTTTCAAAATTTTCACCAAGGTTGGGACTAATAGGCTTACGCAGATTGTGCATTCTGTGGTGCAGCCATCCCAGACTGCTTTCATGACGGATAGATACATCCTAGAAGGGGTTGTGGTCCTACATGAAACGCTCCATGAAATCCACACGAAAAAACTAGATGTGGTAGTTTTCAAAGTGGACATTGAAAAAGCGTACGATAAGGTCAAATGGCCATTTCTGCAACAGGCCTTGCATATGAAAGGTTTCGATCTGGCTTGGAGAAACCAGGTGGAATCTTTCACGCAAAAAAGGAAGTGTTGGAATTAAAGTGAATGATGACATATGTCATTACTTCCAGACACACAAAGGGCTGAGACAAGGAGATTCGTTGTCACCTATTCTATTCAACATAGTGGTCAATATGTTGACAATTCTAATACGAAGGGCTAAGGATGTTGGCCAGGTAGGTGGCCTCATGCCACATCTTGTTGATGGAGGGGTGTCCTGCTACCTCTTGAGCACTGCGTTGGATTTCCCCGAAGAGGAGAGGATGATGCAGCAAAGTAGCGTAAGTATTTCCCTCAGTTTTTGAGAACCAAGGTATCAATCCAGTAGGAGGCTACGCGCGAGTCCCTCGTACCTACACAAAAACAATATCTCAATGCAACCAACGCGCTTAGGGGTTGTTAATCCCTTCACGGTCACTTACGAAAGTGAGATCTGATAAAGATGATAAATAATATTTTTGGTATTTTTGGTATAGAGATGCAAAGTAAAAAGTAAAAGCAAAGTAAAAGCAAAGCAATAATAAAGTGATGGAGATTGATATGATGAGAAAGAGACCCGGGGGCCATAGGTTTCACTAGTGGCTTCTCTCAAGAGCATAAGTATTCTATGGTGGGTGAACAAATTACTGTTGAGCAATTGACAGAATTGAGCATAGTTATGAGAATATCTAGGTATGATCATGTATATAGGCATCACGTCCGAGACAAGTAGACCGACTCCTGCCTGCATCTACTACTATTACTCCACTCATCGACCGCTATCCAACATGCATCTAGAGTATTAAGTTAAAAATAGAGTAACACCTTAAGCAAGATGACATGATGTAGAGGGATAGTTTCATGCAATATGATAAAAAAAGCCCATCTTGTTATCCTCGATGGCAACAATACAATACATGCCTTGCTGCCCCTTCTGTCACTGGTAAAGGACACCGCAAGATCGAACCCAAAGCTAAGCACTTCTCCCATGGCAAGAAATACCAATCTAGTAGGCCAAACCAAACTGATAATTTGAAGAGACTTGCAAAGATAACCAATCATACATAAAAGAATTCAGAGAAGATTCAAATATTATTCATAAATAGACTTGATCATAAACCCACAATTCATCAGTCTCAACAAACACACCGCAAAAAGAAGATTACATCAAATAGATCTCCACAAGAGAGGGGGAGAACATTGTATTGAGATCCAAAAAGAGAGAAGAAGTCATCTATCTACTAACTATGGACCCGTAGGTCTGAAGTAAACTACTCACACTTCATCGGAG